ACGTGTGCTCTTCCGATCTAATCTTGAAATCTACGGCACAACCCTGGAATTAAATCAATAGACATTGTTAATTATAACAAATATCAAAGAGCATATACATTATTAATATTGTTATATAGATTGAATTCAATTGAGAAATTATAATGTATGTAGTATACGAAGATGATTTCATTAATAATTTTATAAAAATTATCTCATGTATTTGCTTTATTTTAATCAATAACTTTTCTATTGGTAACCTCTCTTTACATGTTCTTGTATATTAATCAAATGTTCGATACCTATATGTTAAATGATTTTTGTAAACTAATTATTTCAGATAATTAAGTCCATACTCTGTTCTGTTTCTTATCTTTCTAAATATATTATTATTAGAATGAAATCCATTCAAAGATAACAAACAGGAAGAGGAGGTTATAATTTACACTTGTACAATGTTTTTATTATTGAAAGAACATAAGTCTCCCTTGTGTTCAACATTTCTCATCAGAATATCATTTCTATAAAGTAATAAAATATTTCAATAAAGGAAAACAAATATTTGAAATGATGAATGTTAATGAATATTTTAAGTGAAAACGTAGAAAAACAGAAGGGAAGAAGCGAACGAATTTAGAACGTGCAAATTCGTGGAAACAAATAACAATCGGTACCTTTCCAGCCGTGTCAGACATCTTTTCGAATTTGTCGTGCACTGTTTCTTCTCGTTCGAATCGGAAATTAATCTGAAGTCGATCCGGCAAACGAAGGAGCGAGTCTTGACCGGTGAGCTCCAGAACGGTCGACAGCTACAGATTACAGAAATTCGTTCAGGCGGAGGCAGTCGCGACTACGCGAGCATGGAAAATCCCGCTCATTGGTCGTCTCAAATCGCGGCAGTCAACGAGAGAATACGAAGTCATTCACGGTTTTTTTTTTTTTACTCGACGATTGCATAAATCTGATTCAGCTCAGATTCAAGCGACTTTTTCGAGTCATTTCTCGTGACATTCACGGATGACAATAAAAGCGTTCTTACGTCAGATTTTGAGCGATCAATTGAAGCGGAAGCGAGAACGAATGCTTGCAAATATCGAGCGCGCTTTGAGATGTGCTCCGTTTCATGCATGATGCGTAATGATATATCATTTTATCTTTGTTGTTCGCTGAATGAACTAAACAAGGGTACATCATGCGCATCGTGCATGAAACGGAACTTTTAGAGACAAGCACAATTCAAAGATATAATATAATCTCTCTTCCTTGTCCTCCTCCTCGTTGGAATTCTACTTGGAGTTTTATCATATTTATTTCATACTTGCAATTTTTCTTTTCGTTAGCAAATACAATATTGATTAACATTGAAACTGGACCAACAAACTTCACAAGGAGATCTAAACAAATTATAGAAATCTGACCTGTTTTGATTTTTTATCTATCTTTTTATATTATGTAGTTTGATGGTCACATATATATACACACACACACATATATATTTTTTATACATATATATATATATATATATATATATATATGCATATATACATGTATTCCATTCTTCAGTTTCTTGTAGAGTATATAAAAATATGAATAAAATATTGTCCCGAATTTTGACGCAAATTCAATCACTTAAAAGTAGCTTTTTTGCATAAAATATAGCATTTCCATTTGCGCGTTTTATTCTTATTTTCGTAACTGATATAAAGGATGAAAGGCCTACTCTGACGTAATAAAAGTAGCGTTATGTAAGTGCATTATCAATATGTCTGATAACGTGTATCGATTTGCTTTTTCTTAGTTACCATTACTTGCGAAATTTATATATGACTCGAATTTCAATATTAAGGATGACTTCGATAAAGATAATCTCGGATTAACTTAATCAGCAATGAATTCATCCAGCAGAATTATTTGCTTCAAAATTTTAATAATAGTGATAATTTTATTGCATACGTATAAGATTGAATTTTTTTTCACAAGTCGGATAATTACAAAGAACGTGAAAGAAAAGGATACACACGCGAAAAATGAGATGCCAACACAAGCTACTTATGATATCAACCTAGTAGAATATGAATGAGCTGGAAAATAAATCAACCAAATTAATTTGGTAGAGATTATAAATATTATTACTATATATAAATTATATATATAAAAGACATGATTTTATGTATAAAAGACAGGATTATTGCTATCTCAACTCATAAGTATGTATATCACAATCTACACATCACAAATAATGTAATTAAATTTACACGAAGGAGATGGGTAGATGTATATTAATTAATGCATGCTCAATTAAATCTCTATGTCTATGTGGCCTCTAGTATACACAGTATACATCAAAATGCAGGATGAGACAATCAGCGTACCGTCTATTCGATAAAATATTATTCGAGAAACTGGAATGTTTTTTTCTTTTCACCGCACACAAGTGTCCATTACTCATCGATGGACCTTCCTGTGCAGTTTCGGCGCGGGAAGCGTCTTGATGAGAGTGACGAAGTGGGCGATCAGGTAGCCAAGCAGGGCGCCTATGACACAGGGAATCGGCCAGGCCTGCCAGGGACGGTCCCAGTCCAGAGGGATGACAGTGGCGCCCAGCCAAGTGCCCAGTATCGTCGCCTGTATGTTGAGCTTCAGGGCATCCGCGAGGATGTTGCCCCTCTGGGGGGAGTAAGTCCCCGTGAGGACGTCCAACGCGCTGTCCACGCCCAGGTGCAGACTGGTGGACACGAAGGTCAACGTGATCAGGGTGACGACCAGCATCGTCGTCTCCTCGTGGTCGGTCAGCACGGGCGCGCCGAACAGCACGATCGTCACGTAGTAGGCCGTCGACAGCGCGAGGGCGGTGAGCGTGAACTTGAAGACCTCCCGCAGGCTCTTCGCCCAGGATCTCTTGCTCGCCTTTGGCGGGGCGCGCTGCTCGATCTTGATTATGGTGGGCGCCTCCGCTTGCAGCATGGGAAACAGCAGCTTTATCACCTCGGCAAACGTCAGTATCATCAGCACGGGTAGGAATTTGTACGTGCCGACGTTGGCGGACAGATTGTCGTTGAACTTCACCAGCGTCCAGGTTAGGATCCCGGGCAGGTAGATGCAGGTGAAGGAGCAGTAAGACAGCAGCAGCCTCTGCTCGGGCTTGTTGCTGACACCCATCTGGCCGCGATCTGTTCCGACGGCGATCCACTGGGGTCTCTCGGTTTCTGGCTCAGGGTGCTCTACGCGGAACCGCGCCCCGCCGGCCAGCCCGCGCGCCTGTAAACACACATTTGATTTGAGGTTATGGTCATCAGCTGACACGAACGTCACGTCCAACGGTCCAGCGCGACGGAGACTTGGAACATCAAATTCTTCGTTGATCGCTCTTATCTCGTCCTACGGAGGATTACCATGGGTAAAAATAAGCAGGCGCAACGTACCAAGAACAATGCACGGGTAAACACGAATTATACGCAATCGCGCGGTTATGAATTACGCGTGAAATTAATATTTCCGTCACATAACCTATGAGCACGTTATCGTTATCTGTTTCTTTATAGTTACATGTTACAATTCTAATTGTATGTTATGTTTCTCGCGCACTCAAAATGAAATAAGTAAAATAACAACGTTGGAGAGACAGAGGGAAAAATAAAAAATATAAAAGGTTTAGCTGTAAAAAACGAATCTGTCGACATATGTCAGCATGAGCAACACTTGTCATTACATGAACGAATTATTTGTTTATGCAACTTGTCTTATGCAAGCAAATTGTCCTAGATAGCTAAATTTGTCGGAAAACAGATTTTGCAAAGTATCTGCTTCAAATTTTGTCGACAAAATGCCAGCAAAAATATAATAGAATCTGCTAACGGAATAGTCGCAGATTGACTGCAGAAATTGAGAATTTACCATTTTGTGACCATTTAAATAATATATTCTATCGAATTTTTAAATAATTATGAAATGGAATTTTCCTTGGTCTTTATTTGGTTTTTATTTGGCAAGGTTTGTTGTCAGATTATATAGACAGGATGTGAGTTTAATGCAAACTCAATTGATGTCAATCTGATGAAATATTTTGCAATATTCAAATTTACTATCAAAAAAAAATTGCCAATATTTTGCTTACTACGAATAAACATTTGTATTATTCTGTATTCTCGATAGTATTTTTTACACTTGATTGTGCAATCCTTTGACATATTTTTTAGCCATCAAACAGCAGCCGCAGTGCAGAACTTTTGGGGACTGCAATGCCAAATTTTGTTGGGTTCTCAGCGGTTAAGGACGGAGGATATGTTCCCGTTCTCCCTGGTTTATCCTTATGCTCCTTAAACGAGATTGAGATGAACAATGTAGACGCCAATTTTCAAGTAATATTAAAAAAGCTGAGCAAGAAGGATGCTACGACAAAGTATAAGGTAACCAGTTTGTTGATCTAGTCGTCTAGTCCATTTGTACAGATTTTGTAAACTGACTCATGTACGTGCAGGCATTGCAAGAGTTTGCAACACTGTGTCAAGATGCTGAGTTGTCGGCGGTGGAAGGTATGCTGCCGTTTTGGCCAAGATTTTACTGCGCGCTGTCCATCGACATAGATCACAGGGTGAGAGAAGCGGCGCAGTTGGCACACGCGGCTGTTGTCAAGCGTATAGGCAAAGGCATTGCGATGTACCTGAAACAGTTGGCCGGCGCTTGGTTCACCTCTCAATACGACGCGTATCCCCCGGCGGCTTCGGCTGCCGCCAACTCCTTCAACAGCACATTCCCACCCTGGAAGATCGTCAACGCGATCGTTCATTGCCAGTGCGAGATTTTGCTGTACATCAGCAATAATATAATTGTGCACACAGCTCAAACCCTGTCGACGCAAAAGTCCCTCACCAACGAGGAAATGGAGGCTAAGTATGAGCGAGTGGTGGCAGCAAATCTTCAGGGCTACAGTTGTTACTTCAGGAAAGTGCCGCCTGAGGAGATCGACAAAACCGTGGAGATTCACGGCAAAATTTTGAGCAGCTCGAGATTCTGGAAACTGGCTAAACACGAGGCGTTGCCGATAAAAACTGCTTTCTTCAATGTGTTGACGTCGATAATGGAAAATGCGGGAAAGTTGTTGGAAAATGAGAAGAAAAGGACAGTGACCACTATTATGAATAGCCTTGACGAGTCCGAGCCTGCGATTTTGTCGGCCGTGTGGGAATCGATGCTCATAGCCACGACGAAAATTGACGATTGGCATCTCGTCGTAAATATCAATAAACTCGTACTGCCGAAGTTGTGGCATGTTTTACGATCCGGCGGCCAGTGCTGCGCCAGCACCGTTTACCCAAATCTGCTGCCCTTCGTCAGTCAGTTTCCAAAGTTTAACGTTGACATCGCCGATCTGTACACGAATTTCTTCAACAATATGCGCCAAGGATTTTCCGTCAAAAGTGTGCAAATGAGCCGTTCGGAGACGCTCGCTGTAGCAACGTCTTTCGTTGAATGCCTGCGTTATTCGATTCTCGTGAACGCCGAAAATGTGGATTTATGCGTTCGACTTCTTAAGGAGCAGCTGATGCCTGTTATAGAAGCTTGCATGACGGATAGTACTTTTATGAAGCAGTATTGCTTCACCGAGATTACGCATCTAATACGATATTGGAGCAAAAATCGTACTAACGAGAAATATAAATCGTACGCTGCTTTAATGGAACAATTCTGGATTGAATGGCCGTTGTTGTTCAACAAATTTATGATTATGCCGAAGAGGATCGCATATACTGTTGGTTTAAAGGATTCCCATATCGAATTCTTGATAAATTTAAAAAATGTACCAGATCGAACCCAGAAGAAATTAAAAGTAAAATTCTCTGATCCAAATGATTCGGTTACTGTGAGCGAGCCGAAGATAAAAATTATCGATCCTTATGCAGATACCGTTTTTAATGCGGAACTTTGCGAATACGTAAGTTGTCTCTGTACAATTTACTTTAATTCGATAAACGGGCCATCGGTAGAAGATGATCAATGCATGGAAAATATCAGGCAGCTGAATAAACTTATGAAATACTTTGCAAGTAAAGAATTATTTGTTGCGTTTTCGAAATCTTTTATTTTATTTAAATTTGATGAGGACTTCTTTGAGTTTTACGACAAGAACTTGAGATCGTTATTGTTGCAAAAGTCAAATATGGCTGAACAAATTCTTGAATTGATATTCCATTTTATTGCATATATAAATGACGCGGAAAAGGATAAAATTCTAAAATCATTGATCGAATTAAACGATATTGCAATAACGAGGAGTGTCATATATTGCAGTTTATCCGAACATAACAGAAATGATGGCGTAATTAAGAAATGGTACACGCAAGCCAACATACCCAAACTACTGGTCGATGTGGCCAAAGAAGTCGCTTCGTGTAGCGATGAATCGTACGATTTCGAAAAGGATCAGAATCTGATTTTATTGGCTTTTGAAATTCCGGAAATTAGAGATTTGTTAATAAGTGAGGAAAGAGCAAATGAAATTGTGTCGATTCTATGCGACTCGCTAAATGGAAGGGACGACACCTGCTCCATGCAATTTGTTGCGTTTATTACGGGATTGATGACTTTAACGTGGGGACATAAGCAAACAATATCGAGTGCTGTACAGATATTGGAAACACTTTTTGAATTGTGCACGCGAGAACACGACGACTTGACTGCTGATACTGTGCGCAATAGTTGGAAAGAGGGATTCGTAAGAAGTAGTCAAATATTATCTGCCTTTGAATTTAATGATCTTATTAACAGATGCGGTATTATTATCTGGAGTAAAGTGTATAATGCACACGCAGTCCTGTTAAGTCCCGTTAAGGATACATTGATCAATTTGGCAACGGATGTTTTAGAAGTTGTAATTAACAACATCGACGACACGAAGTCTCATCCCGTTGAAGAAACTATTCTATTGTTCTTAACGGCGTCTGACATAAAATTATGGATCGGAGAGACAACGGCTATTGCGTTATATGGCGAGGTGTTAACGGGTCATTTATACATGTCAAATGTTGAGAACAAAATGCAGATTTTGCAGCAGCCTACATCTATCGATATAACGAACGATGTCACTTTGGATAACACGACGAATTGTTTATCATGGGCTTTGTTTATCACGGATTTGCTTAACAATCTGCACAAGAGACTGAAAGGCTGTGATTCAGAAAGTACATTCTCAGATTCAGAGGGCGAAAATGTTGAATTGACCGATCTCAATTTACCAGGCGTCACGGAGATACTGATACATGTCGTACATGTGATTGGCATAGCGAATATATACAGTAAGCATTACAGATCCACTAAACATTATAATGATGTCAGCAAGCTTCGTAGTTCGCTAAAAAGCAGTCTTGTCAACTTGCATAAATATTTTGCAAAAAATATCCATGACGATGTACCATTATATATAAAAACAAATCAAAAGAATTACGGATGTATGCTGCCATACATAATTTATGCGCATTACACTGAATTTTTCTCGAAAGATAAAACTGAGAAGTCCGTGGAATACTTTGGAAATTACAGTAATGAAGTTGCAGAAGCGTATGACGAAACACATGTACAAATGATGCAAATCTTGAACTGTTATTGGCCACAAAATATCCCGGAAGTATTGAACGACGAACACAACGAAATTTATTCACTAATTGCTCTGAGAACAATAATATCCGACGACTCTTCCGGTCATCAACCTCCCGCGGTGTACGACACTATTGTGGACAAAATTATGTTACGCCACGACGATATTTTTGCAATTTTGGATCACGATGTCTCCGACACTTCATGGGATAAATTGCTCTTGCCGCTGGAAGTGATAAGATTGCTTACGACAGTTGTCCAAAATATTCCGTGGAAGTTGAAACACGCGTATTGGGATGTTATCATGATATCTCTCACGAAGTGGCAACAGTTGCTTGACAATGGCAAACATAATTACATCGACATTAAAATAACAACGCTGATGACGGCGCTTAGCCAGTTGTATTATGCGGTCGAGGTCGTAATGACCAAACACAAGGTGGAGCCAATGCCAGAGTTACCTCCGGAACTCTTGGATGAATGGAGAAATATAATTGCTGGCAATATATATAACGGCATTATCCAGACTTGGATATTTTACGCAGATTTATGCGATCGGAATACGGATGTAATAAGATCTATTATACCATTGAATTATCTGGGAGAGGCAATTTGCACATTTGACAGCGGCATATTATTCAAGAAATATGACGAACAAGCCGAAACGATTGATTTCAACAAGATGTTAAAGCTGTCTCTGAAATTGTTACAATCTCCTGTTCCCAGCATTCAATTGGGTGCCTACTATGCATTGAAGTATGTGGTGCCGGAACTTGTACAGCATGATAAAGTTCTTGTCGAATCTGACAGCTTCGAGCCAAGCAGTCTCAATATTAGAAAATTCGAAGAAGTCCTATCAAATACACAGAATATTGTAAATACAATGCTTATGGAGTTCAAGTAAGTACCTCTGCTTTATATTAAATTTTAATTGATTTATGCATTATGTTTTTTAATGTAATATCATCTTTTTTTTTTTTCAGATTGTGTGATGCAATAAGCTGTACAATCCAACCGTTTACGGATTCTTACACGTATACATTAGGATATCTGTTAGCATGGGCAATTGTACTAGATATTTGCGAAAAGTCTCATAGTGATTTACGATATCAATATGCTGAAATATTGAAGTAAGTATTATAATGCACGTTATGCAATTTCTGTTTGATTTCTATAATGTCTTATTACCAGAGTCCAGATCTTGATGTCGTTTTTCCCAAACCGATCTAGCGTAACATAACTTTACATGTTACAAAGCTACTTTAATAGATAAATGCCATTTTAACAGATAAACAGTATTGCTTCTTGTGGCACTATCGCAGCTTGGAAAACAACACCGAGATCCGGACTCTGCTTATTACTTATAACATTTTAAATGACTTATATATTTTGCTAAACATTATCATAAATTTTAGAAATGAACTTTTCCCCTGTCTGTTGAACAATATCTTCAAGTTAATGCCCATGGAAGCGCTACAAGATAATAAAAATAAAACTGTAAAACTACTGGAGTTGTTTACCACTGCTCCAGTTTTTCGTTTTAAAGGTACTATTAAAATTGATATCCTTGTTGATTAATTTATTATATATTGTTTTACTACATATATATGTGTAATCACAATATTGTAGAAAGTTGGACAGAGGAAAGATTGGATCATATTGTATGTTGGTTATATACAAATTGTTTACGACGTCTGCCAGTGTTAGTTAGACAATGGCTGAGTACAGTCGACAGCAGAGTCAGCGCAACAGTAGACAAGATTACAAGCCATTATGTCAGTCCTAGACTTTGTGAAGATGAGCTTCTTTACAGCAGATTGCAATTGGCTAATATTGAAAATATGCAGGTATGTTATCTTTCGTAATTGCTGCTTCTTCCACAAGTTTTTACTTAAAAATCTAGACTTGTTTTCAAATTTAATATCGAGCTTTGTGTTGATATAGGTAAAAGTGCATTCAACAGCAAGAGAAGTTATAGCCACGTATCAAATGGAAGACACAAAATTGGAATTAAGTATAGTGCTACCATCGAACTATCCTTTAGGTACGGTAAAAGTAGAATCTGGTCAACAGATAGATGGTACGGCAAAGTGGAATAATTGTCACATGCAACTCTCTAAATTTCTCACGCATCAAGTAAGTCTTGCAATACACATATTTATACATATATATTAAAAAATATATTTTTTAATTTTTTTTTTTTATAGAATGGCTCTGTTTGGGATGGTCTTCTAATGTGGAAACGCAATTTGGATAAGAAATTTGCGGGTGTCGAAGAGTGTTATATATGCTTTAGCATTTTTCATACCAGTACATATCAAATACCAAAATTGTCATGTCATACTTGTCGTAAGAAGTTTCATACTCGTTGTTTGGTAAGCATACATTTTTTATTGATATTTATTTTTTATTATACACACACACACACACACACACACACACACAAAAGAGATATCATTTCTCTCTATATTATATATATATATATTTTTTTTTGTTTCAGTATAAGTGGTTCAGTGTAAGTCAAAAATCCAGCTGCCCGATTTGCAGAAACGTATTTTAATCTGATTTGGAAAGGTTTTCATAGAAACAAAGTATCCGTGATACAAAAATGAAGTAAAAATAATACAATGATAGGGAAGGAGAAACGTGAAACAAATACATGTATTATAAAATTAACAAGAACTGAACATGATGTGATATAACATAAATGTATAACAAACTGTAAGATATTATAATCACATGGAGAAATAATTGCATAACTAATCACATATTTGAGCGACTTGCAGAACAGAGATAAGAGAATTCTCTTTTTTATTTATTATGGACTTAGTGTCTCTCATGATAGGATTCTATTATTTTCTATCAATTTTTCCATTTCTGAGTCAATATGATTTATACTGATCGCTCGAATATAATCTTTATTGTATAGAATACGAAATCAGTATTCTGTTTAAGGTATATATACATACGTATTACAAAATTAATTTTTAAGTTGTAAAGAAAAATAAATTACATAATCTTACGTTAAATCTCGTCGGTGGTTGAGGCAGAGAGGATCCTGAGAGCGGCCATGCCCGCGATTTAGCGGGGACCGGCGATTGAGCTGGTTTCAGCGCCTCTGACAAGTGGACATTGAACTACGTAGCCAATGTCCACGATTTTGTCGATTATGTCCACGATCTTTTGGTGGTGATCCGTGCTATGTCCACGGTTGTGTTCCGTGCTATGTGCAGGAATGCGAGTAGGTTAGTTAGAAAAGGACGGACATCAATCTCGGTCGTCCTTGTCTCACCACCAGCTAACAAACA